ATCACCACCTCCTATTAGTAAAAATATCATGACTTATTATTATGTCATTTGTGCGTATAGCGTGAAGCTAATCTTCTCTACCCCTTTTAGTCTTAGTTAGGTATTATAGCGTATAATAGAAATAAAACTACTTTTTATACTTAATTTAAACCCCTACTATAAAAGTAACCTACTACTTTAAACCTATTTACTAGTATACACGTGGGCAGTTTACACCTATATAGTAAACCCCTAGGTCACTATTCTACTGTAAACAATTTTGTACCGTAGTGATTGCGGGAGAACAATACCAATGGGAAGTTTAGTCTGCAATCTTTGTGCAAGGTTCGGGTGTTGATTTTTAGCGAGAATATCATAAAAAGTGCTTTCCTTCTTAAACAGGGCCAGACTTTGGAGAGACATGTGCATCTGCTCGATTGTATCGTCCGTAGGAGGCGACCTGGCAACTGGATATTGAAAAGGAAGCTTCACTACAGCCTCATCCGATATCTCATAGACTATGCTCTGCGACGGCCCAATACTCAGGCATGTCGACGGTGGGAATTTGTAAGGGGTAAACCAGGTGTTATCGGGCATCGAGTCTCCAAGGGTGGTCAAGACTTCAGCAGGTATAGTCCGTTAGGGGCAACAGGCGAATGTAATCGTCGATTCGACGCTATACTTCAGTTCAAGTTGGGAAAACAGCCTGTTCGTAGGCTTCATGGAGTAGTCATGGAGGAAGTAGTCAATGCGATGGTGTGGGATTTGAATCGAGGGAAAGCGTCGAGTGTATTTCGAGCGGGAACCTTTGGAAGAGACAGGCGTGGTTGGCGGGATTATCGGTGCCAGCTTGGCACGATTGGTCGCATCGCCGACTGCGCATAAGCGCCAGAGCCACGTCGCCGTTTATTCTGATTTTGCAGCATTTTACTTAAGCGTATTAGTATCTTTTTGGTCCTTAATACTAAGTGAACTACTAATATTAATATCTACGTATAAGTTTAAAGCTTTAAAATTAGGTATTAGTCAAAGGTGTAGGTATAAAAGATATATTCTTAGTATTTATATAATATTTATATTCCCTTGGGAGATTAGTTTACTATAAAAAATACGGCCCCGCCTAGAACGCATACTATCTAAGTAATATAGCTAAGAAAAATTGCGTTACGCTACTAGCTCATTGCCAGTTGGGACACACCCCCGACCGTCGTCCCATGGCCGCCGAGCCACTTTGTTGCCCAGTGGACGACGATGTCAGCACCGAAAGACACAACGGGGCACCAGAACCCCCCCTGCCCCAAAGGTGTTTTCGACCTAGAGAACAAGGTTGGTAAGTCTCATTTGGCGTTAAAGCTACCTCGTTGCATCACATGATACCTCTACGAGGGCTTTTCTGTAAGAGGCTCTACACTTTCCAGAAAAGGGACATGATGCTCATGTGCAATGTCCGCAATACCCTGAAGGTCTGGGATGCTGACGACTGGATTCCCAACTGTCTCAACAAAGACCAACTTTGTTCTATCGTCGATCAACGGCCGATAGACCTCAGCATCGTCGGTGGACACCTATCGGACAGACGCTCCCATACGCGGCAATAATGTCTTGAACAAACTGTAACTGCCTCCGTACAGGACTGTTGATGCAACGATGTTATCCCCGCTGTGAGCCAGACATATAATGGCCTGGAACACTGCTGACTGACCGGAGGCGCAGGCCACAGCGGCAGTGCCCCCCTCAAGGGCCGCAATACGTTTTTCCAAGACTTCTACTGTGGGCTATTGTCATAGGGAACTATCACTCCACGTCAGCAAAAGATTGATCCTGTGAGTCTCGGGAATACCGCAATGAAATTTCCAGAGTATGGTACGCACATTTGATATCCTGGAATACACATGTCCCGCGTCTTCGTTACTGCACACCCGGCGGGCATGCTCGCTGCTGGTGAAGACATATGACCATTCGGAGTTGTCAGTAAGCTACTCCAGCCAGACTTCAACACTGGGCGACGGAAGGTGTCACTGCTGTGGCGTAGATGGGAGCAGTCCTCGCTTTCGTCGCCGAGTCCGGCTTCGCTCTGGCGTGAAGTTGTCGAGTGTCAAACGCGCGCTTGGACTCTAAGCCAACGTCCACTTTGAAAGGAGCGAATGCGTTGGCCATTCCCGGTTTTGTTAGAAGATTGAAAAAGAAGCTGTGAGCGAGGTTGTAAGTATGCTCTGAAATTCGGTCTGAAATATTCATTTGGCGTCGGCATGCTAGCGAGACTTCTACTTGGAGCCTTGGACATTATGTTTTCGGTGTTGTCTCGATATTCCACAATTTCCGTCTCACAATGTGTAAGCTGGTGTGAGATTGGTGCACGTCCGGGATTTCTCCCATTCGGCCGGCGTCGCGAGGAAGATGGATATTGTAGGCTGACTACATTGGGCAACATTCGAGATCCAGCGTTGAGGCATACGGGTTCTCGGATTTCGACCAATCTGGTGAACTCCGAATTCGTTCGTGGTTCGACTTTTACACTGTGATTATCCAGGCTTCAGCCAAACTGCCTGTTTTAACTTCGGTAGCGTCGCAACAAAGTCTTTGGCATTTCCAGTAGTCAAATCTATCGATATGACTTCGTTCCAGCCTCCAGCGTATCCACTGGAATTTATTGCACATAAAGTTGCCTTGGCAAAGAACTCCTACCATGACGCCGAAACCGCAACTTTGATCGGTCTTGCAGGAGTTGTCATTGCATTGATTTACTGGTTATCGAGCCATTCTAGGCAAACATACGTAAAAGGCGTTCCGTTTGTCGGTGGAAGCGACGAAGACGCCATCAAGAAGAACCGGATCCGGTTCGTGAACGATAGCAAGAATATGTTACTAGAGGGCTATAAGCAGGTATGCGATTATAATTTCAAACTGATCCCATCCGGAATACGCTCGGGTTGCTGAGAGAAGTAATGCTAATCTTGATCGTGTACTAGGCAAACCGCGGACTGTACTATGTTCCCAGCAAATTGGGAGAGCGTCTGATGATTCCTGTCAAATACCTGGAAGATTTGAAGTCAGCACCAGTAAACGAGGTTGATTTCGTGGCCACATTCATTGAGGTCAGCGAGTTCGCCCGATGGTTTACTCGGCCCGCAGCTGATTGGACTACAGATGTTCGAAGGCAAATACACGACGATGGGCAGCCGCTCAACTCTCCATCCCCGCGTCGTCAGAGGGCAGCTGAATCGAAACTTGTGTGAGCTGGCAAATAGGGTCCGGATCTTAGTATTTCTCGTTAATTTTCGCACACAGGGACCGTCATGGACCACATTCAGGACGAGATCAAAGACGCTTTTGAAGATTCTTTCCCTCCCTGTCATGGTAAGAGCATTGTTCTTTTCTCGTTTGCTGCAATCAACTCGAGGAAGGTTTCCTGACACGATCATTCAAGACTGGACCGAGGTGGACGTAGTCGACCGAATCACACAAATCGTGGCCCGCGTGTCAAGTCGCATGTTTGGCGGCACTACCCTTAGCCGCAACAAAGAATGGATTCAATCATCCATCGACTTCGCAACAGACGGGTTCATTGGCGCTCAGGCCCTCAAGCAGTATCCTGAATTTCTCAAACCGGTTATCGCCCGCTTTATTCCAGCTATCCAGAATATCAAGAGCCACTATGCTGCCGCAGAGAGGGCCGCGATCCCCCTTCTCAAAGAGCGTGCGGCTAATGGCACTGCTGCGCCTGACCTACTCTACTGGATGGCGGAGGACGCCAAGGGAGACGAAAAAGACCTGGCCGTCCTCGCCAGTATTCTCCTGAAAGTTAGCTTTGCTGCAATCCATACGAGTGCAGCAGCACCTACGCAACTGTTGTATGATCTCTGCGATATGCCCGGATACATAGAGCCACTCAGGAGAGAAATTGACCAAAATCTCGATGGAAATGGATTGCTCGGCCGCCAGGGATTTCAGGGATTGACCAAGTTGGATAGTATCATGAAAGAAAGCCAACGGTTCAATCCCTTGCTTCTCAGTAAGTTTGAAATATGCAATACACAACGCCTACCAAAGTCTCGATGTATTTTGACCACCCACAGTCACATTTGAGAGAGTCATCACAGTAGACTACACTCTTCCCGACGGCCTAAAGATTCCCGCCCACACAACTATCGGCGTACCCGCCCACGCCATCTCAATGGACCCCGAGATCTTTCCTGAACCTGAAAAGTTCAAAGGCTTCCGTTTTGACGAGTCAGCTCCAAAGACGTCTCCAGACTCTCTGAATGAAAAGGCAAAGTCCTCGGTGGCTTTTGCTGCTGCCCATCCCGCAAGCATGGCCTTTGGATACGGGCGGCACGCGTGTCCTGGCCGCTTTTTCGCTTCGGCCGAAATCAAGGCAATCATGGTTTATCTTCTAAGAAATTACGACTTCAAGTTCCCAGACAACCAGGCTGGAAGACCTCCCAGCTTGATTTTCGAGACGCAGAACCTGCCTAACTCCGCTGGTCGTATCATGTTCAAGAGGAGATGAACGACGTTCAACATCGTATGATGGTTCGTCCTGGCCAGTTTCAGAAAGCGTTTGAGTGTAATAGGAGAGGCAGAGTAGTAAAGTGAAGATCGATTGATCCAGCTCCCAAAGTTTGCACTTCTGGATAATACTCCTACGACGAACGTGATTGCTGCATGTACGTGATGATATACTGTCATACCGACGAATTCGAAACAATTGAATCTGAGTTCGCTTCTAAAGAGATTGAGATTTGCTCCCTTCAGATTAGGTCAAGGGGCGTTCTTTGAATTTTGACATCAACCTGTTGGTTGTGAGAGGGTTAGGATGCGGCGGGGTAGTACCGGTAGTGCACAGTCCCGTCGGGGTGCGATTAGGTACAACAAGCGGCTGCAGCCCATGACAGGCATTTTGTATTCGGCCATGCGAGCAGGTCAATAGTGAATTATTGATGGGCTGAAGAGAGGTTGACATGTCTAATCAAGGCGCGGCAGTAACAAAGGATCCTTGAGCAATCGCTCCATATCCTCCGTGCAAATATGGACAGAGATATCCACCCCGCTGTCGGTCCAAGACGGCCGAGATCCAGACAAGTGCTCTCCAGAAGATGGGGGTGCTTCTTTGATGAGAATGTCGCCGTCCAAGTTCGGCACGATGCCGTCCGCGTATCGTATGCGCGAGCCAAGACCGAAGTCGACCTCGTAGATGCCGGCGCGCGCCCAGGTGGTCACCAGGATATGACGGCGGCCAAGGAATGCCTGCCAGATACGCTGAGGAGACTTCTCATACGCAGCGCTATGAAGATGATCTGCGAGATTGGCTGGGTCGCTGACAGTGGAGATTGTATGCCGAATCTTTTGGGCGATGGGAACCATGGCTGCGGTAGCCTTACTTGATTGTTCGTAGCCAACCTCAGAGCCCGGCAGCTCAACCTTCATCATGATGATCGGAGAACCCAGAAAGTCTTCACCCAGCTTGAGAGCGGATCGAAGGCCAAGCACAAGATCGCAATAGACAGGGCCGTCATCGTTGCCGAGTTGACGTGCACGCACAATACAGGACCAAATGTGTGCCAACACGGCATCATGCTTGCTGATGCTCGGGCCATGACCGTCCGTACCCTTTGTGGCTTCGGTCAAGAGGAAATCGACCTGCGCTGTGTTGAGATGAATGGTATAGTCGGAAACAGGCGCCTGGAGATCCCATTCAGCCCATGGCATAGGCTTGCCTGCTGGGGATGGCAGATTGGCCGCATCGAGGAATGGCCCGGGAGGCTTTCCCGGCGCGGCCCACCAGTCATACCTGTGCAAGGGCAAACGTTCGGTTCGTCTCACAATGGCCGGGTCCGCCTCCTCGGCGTCGATGTCTCCGGCAGCAAGGTTGTCCAAACGCGCCGGCTCAAAGACGGGAGTCAGGACTGGGGCGGTCAGGCCCTTGATGACCGCACTACTCACACTCGCCCAGTCCTTGACGAAGCGGACAAGGCCCGTGATGTCCGCCATGGGATGCGCCGATTTGGCAGCGAGGACAAAACCACCATCTGACAAGGTGAGGGCGCAGTTCATATGACCATGGAATTAGCGCTGCGTGAACTTGTATTTAGCATGGGGTTAGGCTATGCCAAGCTCTACTAGCTAGCTAAGTAAGGTTAACTAAATATTATACTATAAGATTTTGCAACATGTTCTAAACCTATTCTAAATATATTCTATACTAGTAATACTATAAGCTACTACTACTATACCTATTACTAACGCATCCTTTATATCCTACGTAAGTAGATTAAAATATATTTAGAATATATTCTTAATAGGTTATAGAAGCACTATTAATAGTACCTTACCCTTAGCTATATCCTAGATAATATTAGGGCATAGCCTATAGTTAGCCCTAATAGGGTAGTTAAGATAGAGAGTAAAGAGCGCTACTACTATACTAAGATTAATAATAAGGGCACCTTATGTAGAGTAAGAATAGGTTCTAAACGTGTTCTAAATAGGTTCTAATATTCTTAGGCTATTCTAGGTACTAGGGGCACTCTATATACCTATACTAAAAAAGATTATAGGCTTAATATAGCCTACTATAAGGTTAGTAGGGTTAAGAAGACTAGCTAGCCCTCTATAATAGAGGTCTATAAGGCAAAGAGTAAATATATTATTAACCTATTCTTAACTTGTTATACTAATATATATAGACTTCTATATAAAGGTTATATATAATTACTAGAACACTCCTTACTATAAGTTATTTAGAATATATTTAAAACTTATTACTAATATATTTTATAGAAGTTCTCTAAGCCTAGCTAGTAGCTACTATAGGCCCCCCTATAAATACTAATACCCTCCTAAATATAATTTAGAAGAAGACTTGTAGTAGCTATAATAGTAATAAGGTATAGCCTATAAGAACCTATTAAAAATATATTACTAACTTATTATAGCTTAACTTTATTACTATATCTACCCTACTAAGGATTTAAGGTTATTAGGTTCCTTATACTATCTACGCTTATAATTATCCTAGCTATAGTAAGTTATTTATAATATATTATTAACCTGTTCCTAATATATTTTAAGACTATTACTTTAATACTAGTATAGACCTTACTAATTCCTGCTAGAATACTGCCTAGTTCTACTTATAGTATGCTTTTATAGAGCCTAGGGAGGATAGGGAGGATAGAGAAGATACTAGAGAGGGGGAGGGAGATAATAATAGTAACAAGTAGGAACATATTAAGAACGTGTTAAGAATAGGTTCTAATAAACAATATATAATAGTATATAACCTAAAGGGGTAGTAGTAATTACTAAAATAAACTCTCTACCTTCTCTTTTTTTTTTTATCTACTAAAAGTAAAGTACTATTTACTTTTATAGGGTCCTTTAATAGTATATAACTTTTTCTTTTTACTTTTATAGGTATTATAAAGCTTTAGTAGTCCCTTAGATTAAAGAAGAATCTAGTATTTATAGGTATCTAGCTATAACGTATTATTAATATATTCTAAACGTGTTTTAAGAGACTAGACTTATATCTCCTTTTTACTACTTTTACTAAATATTATTTATAGTATAAAGGGGAGCAACTATTTGCTCCTCTTCTTTACTCTCTACTTCCTTTTTAGCCTCTACTCTAGCTACTACTTCTTATTATAGACTAGCTATCTTAGAGGGTTCTTAAACCTTAAAGGAGGCACTTAGTATAGTCTACTCTACTAGTAAAGAATATATTATTAATATGTTTAGAACATATTCTTAAGTATTTACTATTAAGCTCCTATAGAAGATCCTTGCTTCTGCAATGCCTTGTATTATAATTCTGCTATAGTTTACTAGGGCTATTTAAACCTTAGGATAATACCTCTTAAGGTAGTAGATAAGATTGCCTCTATTAGAGAAGTAACGCTAAAATAGTTATTAATATATTATAAACGTGTTCTAACTTATATATATATATACTCTATAAAGTTCCTATACCCCTAATCTAGCCTAAATAGCCTAGTAGAAAAGCTTACTAGGAAATACTATACACCCTTTATTTAGGTAGGATATTATAGGAGAGAATACCCTAGTATTAGATAGAAGTAACTTAAGCTTAATATATTACTAGTATAAATCCTACTTAGTGTTAGAATAAGTTTATAACATATTCCTAACGCGTTCTATTATATACTAACTTTAAAAGATCTTTATAAACTATATTAACTAGTTATATCTAATAATATTAGGAAAGATAGATAGTAAAATAGTATTAAACTCTTAAATATAAAAAGTTCTTATAGAGTATAAGAAGAAAGAAGAAGAAAGAGAAGAAGAAAGAATATATATTTATCCGCTTATATATACTTATATAATAGACTAGAATATATTAAAAACTAGTTAGAAACTAGTTACTATATTTATAGACTAACCCTACCTTATATAAAAAGTAGCTATCTCTTTCTTAAGTTTAAACTGTGCCTTTTGCAATTTAAATAGTGCCTTTTTCTATATAAGTTCTTCCTTATCTACCTCTAGCTTTTCTTTTCTCTTCTTTAGAGCCTAATTACTAAGAAGAGCCTTTTATTATAAATGTAACAATAAGGCAGAATTGCCTGCCTATTGTTCTATGCCGAGTCAGGCCTGATAAAGGCCTGACTCACTGATGTATATAGAGAACAGCTCGCCTATAGTTAGGATAGGCATGTTCTTCTTGTCCTTTTATACAAGACCTATAGGTGTAGGAATCTTATTCTTTTCTATATAGACGCGCACTCCTATATGCCTTTAAGTTGTATAGGATACCTTTTAGATGCCCTACCTACCTAAGTTATTACATTATAAGAAGAATATTATCCTAGCTAGTAACGGCATTTAAGAATATCGCACTTATTGTTATTTTAAGCTACTAATTTAGTTCTAGTAGCTACCTAACCCTGTAACTCTACAGTTAGAATAGCTATTAGAACTTCTAACAACCAAAGCCTATAGGCTTGGACTTCTAGACCTATAGGTGGTGCTAGATTACCTTTAGAAAAATCGCGTTAGATTGCGTTAAGGTAGAGACCTAGAGACTACTAAAAGCCTAGAGGAATTAGAGGCAAAGCTAATATCCTCCTATAACTAAACCCCCTAAAAAGAAAAGAAAAGATTTGTTATTCTTATTAACTACAAAATATTAGATAAGGGCAAAGGAAGGGCCTCTAGTTCAGCCGCTTTTAAAAGCCTATTTACTAATAGAAAGAAATTAGATAAGGAAGACTTAATTAATAACGCCCTCCTTAAAGGACCCGCTTCCTATCTGTCTCTTAAGGTACCTTGTGCTCCTAGGAAATCTTAAAGCAACACCTCCCTTAAAGATAAATATATATTAACCCTATCTAAAAAGGAGAGGTTAGAGGAACAAGTTAAGCAACTTACTAATTAGTTGTACAACACCTCCCTCTATAAGGAGATATAGGGTACTACCTAACCTAGCTAGTCTTTAGCTTCTATATTAAACCCTATAGTGTATGCTATAAAAGCTAAGAGATAATTTAAAAAGACGCTAAATATCTCTACACTTAGTAATAGTGCTAATCCTACTTTTAGATAATAGCAAGCATCTATTTAGGATAGGCTAGAGATTAACGCTAATTACTACCCCTCTTCTAGAGCTTAGATAGCATTAGTCTAGGGAATTGCTCTTGCATAATGGGGATGTAAATCATCCAAGTTCTGAT